AAGCTGGAAATGTGGAGTTTTATTCCGCCACTACCAAGGAAACTCCTGCCGCGTATCATTTAACTTGCTTTTCAATAGTTGGAGTGACTGGTTCATATTAGATTATATGATTACTTTTATTTGCTGTCGCTACATGTAAAAATAATTTAAACATTACCAAGGTTCTCGTATTATATGTTTACGGGATTATGTGATACTATGGTGATAATTGTAAACTGTCCTTACCATAAACTCCACCTTGAAGGGGGGGGGGCATAACTACGATCCCACATACATTCCTTGTTGGGACCGTGTTAACCCATTCTTTGGCCTTTCTTAAAGCCGCGTCGAAGGTTTTACTATTTATACAGAGGAAATCGGGTATTGAGTCGACCATACGGTTTAATACTGGCGGTCACTTCGAGTCCAGCTGGCCGCAGTGGCCAAGGTAGCTTAAAGCTTCTGTCAAATATGCTTCCTGGTGTATCCACCACAGAGCCGTTTATGCAGATGTGTTAGTCTTGAGGGCCTATAACCCTGTCCCAGCGGGCTGCACCATAATTCGTCGCTCAAGCGATCTGACAGTGTACAACAGAAAATTCGCACCATTCGACCGACATTGTGTAGTCTCGTCGGTATCGGACCAACAACTGCTAAACGAATTTGTGCAAGCTGTGGGTAATTAATCCTTGCGTCGAAGAACCTCTGCCATACCTATGCCTGGCAGTAAAAAGTGTGCACCGAGGTACCTGGGGTTTGGATTTCTGCTAGCGAGACAATAGGCCGACATACCGACTTATATCCAGCCTAGAAGGCGTGAAGTACACACTGTTACATGCCACAACGTTGTTCATGGTGTAGGACGCCAGATGTTAGCGAAAATTTTTACTTTTCTACTGTTTCGGTTGACTGGATTTCTGTGCATGCATTCTAAAATCAAAGTAACTTACGAGGATAGTAAAATGCTCACCGATCTGGTTACGGAACATGCCTTGTGCCTTGGAGCCCAATCTAGAGTTCTCGCAGGCAGTCGCATAATGAATTTAAATATATGATGAAGTGGAACCAATAACGACAAGGGAGACCGGAATGGCCATTTCTGGCTTACTAACCGTCATCAGCCAGTCATACCCAATCCCTAGGTGAGCGCCCCACTATCGTCATATTCCCGATCGCGATCGACAAAAATAACGGACCGTGGCGCCGTGGCAGAATTTTGCGCTCAATAAGCAAAGTTCGTGGGGTCGAATCCCTAGGATTGGCTACGACTGACTGATGACGGCTAATAAGTCAGAACTGGCTATTCCGGTCTCCCTTGTCTTTGTCGGTT